TCAATTTTATGTCTAAAAAAATCACTTTTTCAGTTAAACTGGATTCCTATGCAACAATGAAAGGCACCAGATCTACAAACAACTTCTAAGTAGGTTACGTACAGAAGCTCTTGTATGCAGCCACTCATATTATTAAATTCTGATCATGGCCCCTAAATCAGCCCTGACCTGTGCCAACCAGAACAGTCCTATACAGTGCCCAAGCAGCATTCATGCAACAGTCTGTGAAAGGGACTATCCTCAATAGGTTGGATGCATGAATCCTCTGAGTGAAGGGAGGAAACAATGTATAGCTTTCCACCCCAGACTGGTTCTTGGCCCATTTTACTTGTTTACTAATACAGCTGCTACTAGAAAACATTGTGGTCGGAAAATCAGTATCTTTATCAGGAAACACTGCAGAGAAACACTTCAAAACCTAAATGTGCACAGGAAGACCACCAGTTTTCCACAGAAAGTCTCCACACACTCTCATTTAACACAAATGGGGAAAGTTCAACTGGTTTTGAATTAAGTCAGTAGTACTATGCTGATTTCCATATGTTGGCAATATGGCCCTCTGCTTCACAGCACATCTTCATTTAAGGTCTGAGCTTAAGCAGTTCTGAGAGATTTAATTTGTCTGGAAAAATCTCTTATGAACTGTGGTTGGTTTGTTGGTCTGTGTCCCTAGATATAAAAGGATTAGAGCTTTAAAGGCAGAAAGAAGTGGAGCTAAGTCAAAACTATAAAGCACTTTATCTATTTGTTCCTACAGAGGATCACTAAATGCAGTAAATCAGGTGCTGTTAAAATCTTGGGGGAACTGGTTCAGAGAATTTCACTGACAGAAGCATGATGCCTGCTTCTTCCATAGGGTAATATAATAAGAAACAAAGGCAATGATGCTGGCCAGAGCTTTGAATGGAAGAATATGATTTTAATTTGGTAATAAAGGCAAAATACTTTAAAGTAATTACTTTCCTCTATATTTTTAGATATCTGTGATTTAAAATAGTTTTAACCTCTTTTTTGTAAAATGACAAACCCTTTCACAGGGTTTCATATTTAATGTCCATTCACTAGCTTCCAGGAAATTGTCTCTAATTTTTCCTTTTTCAAAATGAGAATTTCCTTATCTGTAAACTTTCAGTTGAAGTCTGTCACTTTCTGTCAAAACCTACATTATTCCAAATGCAGATGGATGCCTCTGTGAAAGAACATTTTGGAAGGAAAAGTAACTTCCAAAACTGGCCCTCAGGAAAAGGGAATCTGGGATAATAAGGGAGGAGTGTTTTCTCATGCATTGATAATACACAAATTTCCTGTGCATCCATCTCTGTAGGCGTAAGTGGAATAGGAGAATGCATGAAAGTTGAAAGAACATGAGTGAAGCTTAGGTGTTTCACAATGAAAAGTATCTCAAGTGAGAAATACATCCGGGATTCACGTGGGATCTGTAGAAAAAGATAAGGTAGGATTGCAATAGCTGGGCTATCATTACTTGGCAAGTCTTTCTGTTGGAGCATCACACTTTGGGTAACTATCTTTTGGCCAGGATGACTAGAGACTGACCTTAGAGGTTTCTGATTACTGTGCTCAGGGAAAAGGAAGATTCAAAAGCCCACCAAACTGAGTAATTAGAATTTGCAATTAACAACTGCAAGAGCCCCAGACTATCAGAGGATTCAGATTCAAATTCATGACATAAGTCAGAAGAACTGAGGGCCAGACTCTTCCAAATGCAAACAAATGACCTGACCATATAACATGAAGGAGAACAAGGAAGTAAGATAAAGCTTGAAAATCTCTGAACAATTGCCTTGCAAGTTGCTGTGAGATCATAATTTTATTTTATTGCTTCATTTAAAAAAAACAAGTTATTCTACTTTGAGGGTAGGAAAATTGATTCTCATTCAGACCTCCTTGAGAGAGAGATTGCTGACATTTAGCAGCATTCCCTAAACACAAATAACAAAGTTTCATCTCCTAGAAACTGCTTTATTTGCAGTAGTTTCTACAGCTCTGCTTCGTAACATCCAGGGGCAGTATTTCCCCCATTTCATCAAGCATTCATCTGCACACTTTCTAGACTGGCTAGTCAGATCATGTTTGAACTTGCTTTAATGACTGCTGTAGGAAAATACACCCTAACACTATCAAAACCCAAAGAGTCCTCCTCCATCATTAGTCAGTGACTGATCTCAACTATACTAAAACACTACCAAAAAATCCTGCAGTCACATATTCACCAACCCGAATACATTCAGACTGAAGAATAAGAGCCAATTCTTGTCTCAGTTATTGATCTCAGTTTGTTTCATCTAAAGTCAGTTTAACCTGTAATATTTGGGAAGAGAATTAGTCCCCAAATTATTTTTTTTACAAATAAAAAACTTAGCAAATAAGCCTTCTCTCCTGGATTATGCAACTGTACTCTTTAGATTATTTCAGAATCTTAATCTAAACCTTCAGTTAGTATTTAAACCACAGCTAAAGAAGAGGCCTTTGGCATCCGCCACATCATGCCACATATTTTCAGTGAACTACTTTAAAAGCCTACATCCCAGACAGGATACAGAAACAGCTCAGGAAAGCACTGACTACCTCAGAACTAACTGAGGCAACTAAATGCTTTTGGGCCCTTCAATTAGAAAGGATATTGAAATCACAAAGAAGAGAAACAATGAGGATTTTATTAGCCCAAAAGTAAGTCACCAAGCAGAGCTCTGGGAAGACATAGCAGCAACCCTGGATATCTCAGGGTTTTATTTTGGGGATGATTTCTGTTTGTCACACTACAAGGAAGAAATAGGGCTAGAGACATTTATGTATTTAGTGTCAAGATGGATAAATCCAAAATCCCTGCAATAAATCCCTAACTGCAAAATGAATTCAAGCCTGAGCCCTGAGCGAATTTCCTTCTTGTTCTGCTCCTGGCTTGAATGAAATGACAAAAAAAAAAAAAATAAAAAAAAAAAAATCAATGAAATCCAGATAAATAGGATAAGAACAGAAGAATGAATACACAAAAAAACTTTAAAAAAAGTCTTTAAAAAGTATAGAGATACTTGGCTATGCAGTGGCATTTTTCCTGAGAATTCTGTAATGTATTTGCCAAGATGCAAGCTCAAACCTGCTTTGAGCCTTGTGTAATGAGAGCTTTCAAGTTGAATGAGTTTCCAAATAAGCTGTAGGATGACCATATGACCTAGTAGAAAGGACATAAGGAGATCAGTATGAAGGCTAAATTTGGATATGTACTGACTTTTAGTAGCTTCCATATCTAATTGGTTGTTCTCCATACTGATTCACCGGGGAAGTTACAGTCAATGGGAAATTTCTGCTTCTCTGTCATTTTCTGTCTCCTGGCCTCCAGAAGAACAGAATCTGATCAGACCTGCACAGGCTGCACTGAGGGAACAGCCTCGCTCCTCAGCACATGATGTAGCTGATACCTCCATCTGCTCTGCCGCGGGAATGGAAGACGTCAGTATAGGGAATGAATATTTGGAACCGTTTTCCCTCACTTTCTGAATTGCTCAGGAAGTATTTGGAGCCAAGGCCATCTGACAGATGACTGTTTTGCTCAGGTCTAATATCAGTGATCAGTATGGTGTAGTACCCAGGACACCGTCTCTGCAGAGTATCCACTGACCAGATGATTTAAGATGCTCTTGCATGTAGGTCGTCCCATAGATACTTTCCTACTCAAACAGAACCATGATTATAATTAATCATCGACATATTGCAAACTTTCAAAACCTTTTAAATCTTATAAATGTAAAATACATATTTATATTTGCATTAAAGTATTTTACCAAGTTACATTAAATATTTATAATACTATTTAAATGTATAGAGAAGATGAATAATCGTTGGAAGTTGACTGCAATTCTAGACCAAGATTTTATGCTCATAGAAACATGAAAGAAATTCCCAAAGTAAAATACTCTGTTTCTTTTAGTAACTACTGAATACTAAGTCTCACACATGAAAACACCCAGTCAAAACATCCTATTCCATAGCTGACGTAAAAATATGTACTTTGTGACATTCCTCGGCAGTTTCTTAATATTCTTATGTTCCACAGAATTACTAAATGTCAATTAATTGTGGATGGATTTCTAACTACCTAATAGACTGACATTTTTATTACATTTTCATTCAACACTTTTTGTTAATAAAGTGAGTTTTTCCCCTATTGCACTGAAAAGGTTCATTACAAAATTAATTCATCCAGGCATGTTTAGGTGTCTGTATAATACAACAACTTTCCCTCCAAAATATTTCATACATCTACTTTTATTCTCAATAATATTTTTCTGAACAATAGAATATTACTGAATCTATATACCTCAGATCTGGTAATGTTCATTTAGGAAAACACCTGGTTTACTTCTAAAGAGTTATACAGAGAGGTAGTGTCCTGGGTTCAGCAGTAGCAGCAGCAGATACATTGGTATCACCAGCACTGTTCCCAGGCTGGAAGTCAAAACACAGCAGTGCACCAGCTACCACGAAGGAGAAAAATGACTGCTACTGCTGAACCCAGGACAGGTAGCTATATAGCAATATATCTGTACACATACAGATATAGAAGCAGACACACTGGAAACACATACTGTCTAACACTATGTTTCCCTGATTTGGGATTTACAAGATACCAAGTCGAATATAACATCTTATTCTGCTTTACTGTTCTATTTTCAGAAAATTATGTTTGTTTCTTATTTCATTCTCTGTATTTGCAAGACAGATATAATGAGCTGTATTGTTGAAAAGATGATATGTAATAAAAGAGAAAAGCACTTTTTGCCCTGATAAATTCCTACTATAAATGAGCTGGGACAAGTGGTATGAGTCAAGACAGTATGAAGTTTAATTTATCCTGAAAACATTTGGGTTACTTTGTAAAACTACTCTTAGTTTGGTAAAAATACATACTTATGTAAATAAGGCTCAGCATTACAGTGTATTAGCCAGTAAAATCTCTTAATTGGTTGGCATAGGTCTCTTACAGGTTTCTGTTCAGCCCTTTGACCTCCATGAAAAGGCACTCTGCTGAGTCATATCAAACTCCTGTAAGCAGCTAAAACCGGTAAAAGTTTAAGTTGAGATCAATGTACCAACTTTGTACAAGTGTGAATGTTTTGCTATTGGTGTATGCATCTAATTGGGTCCTTACATGTCAGAGAAACTGCAGGGCCATTCTTCCCTGCTTTTTTAAGTCATTGGCAAGTCTCCCTTTCAATTCAAAAGGAATAGAACAAGATCTTGAAAAAATAAAACCACAAAATTATATATTCTTTGCCAAAAGATGCTACCTCATAAGGCCCAATTCTGACTTCAGCCATCTCATCAATTTCTATCAGAAAAGGCTTTGAGGACAGGAAAGATATTTTATGCTTCAGATGCAAGAGAGAAAACTGGGGCAGCAGTGACTGTGCCATAGAGCTGAGGGAATAATTCAGTGTTAATAATTTATTTGTTGAACATAGCTTCCTTTCTTCCTTTTTGAACAGTTGTGAAAAAGACACTTCCTTTCAGCTGTGAGATGCAATGGCACACTGGGTCACCCAAGGTGAGCAAGAGGCCGTAATACACCTGCACCTATGTAGCCTGTCTCTTTGCTGGAGTTCTTGAGCACAAATCTTTGTATTATGACCCACCTCTTGTTCTACAGCCACTTGTATTTGCTGATTTGTGACCCAACCGAACTCACAGGCTTACAGGCCTTGGTCTGGGAATTCACAAAGCAAGAATCAACAGCATGAATCTTATACATACTACATACTGCACAGCTCTGAACAGCCAACTGAAATTGGTATAAAGATTCATAATATAATAATACTATTTATTTATTCATTAACATTAGCAAAATTCTGTCTGCAAATATACTTGGTAATAGTGTAGCAAGCATTTTACTGCACATACCTAATAACAGGAGAGAGTGAAGATAAATTTGATTTTTGTTGTTTATTATTTACCTATCGTAACAGAAATAGGTCTTTTGTTTGTTGCACTTTATCGTCTATGTGAATACAAGTCTTGCCTCAAAAGTCTGGCTCCATAATTTTCCCATTCTAAAAATATTTCTGCCCATGTTTGGTCATATTATAAGACCATTTTGACTATGCACTAAGCTACTGTCATGGTTTAAGGCCAGTCGGTAACACAGAACCACGCAGCCACTGGCTCACTCTTCCCCTTCTTTCCTGTCCTGGCTCCCAGAGAGATGGGGAGGAGAATCGAAAGAATGTAACTCCCACAGGTTGAGATAAGAACAGTCCAGTAACTAAGGTATAACACAAATCACTACTGCTACCACCAATAGTAATGATAGGGGAAATAACAAAGGGAGAGAATACAATTGCTCACCACCCACCGACCAATACCCAGCCCAAACAGAGCAGTGATCTCCCCTTCTGGGTAACTGCCCCCAGTTTATGTAGTGGGCATGACGTGCTGTGGTATGGAATACCCCTTTTGCTAGGCTGGGTCAGGTGTCCTGTCTTTGCTTCCTCCCAGCTTCCCCTCCTCCCTGGCAGAGCATGAGACTCAGAAAGTCCTTGATCAAAGTAAACGTTACTGAGCAATAACTAAAACCACTGATGTTATCAGCATTGTTCTAAGGCTAAAGTCAAAACCACAGCACTGCACCATCTACTAAGAAGAAGAAAAGTGCCTTTTACAGCTGAACCCAGGACAGTTACAAATGCACATAATGTTTGTAATAACAGATTATATATTTGATGATGAAGATGTTTGACTATAATTGGAAAAGAAGAGCAGTACATTACAGGTAAAGTATTGCAGCTAGCATATAAGCAGCAGTCATATTTACTTTTTTGTTCTCTGCAGGGCAGAGCAGAACTAGTAGTTTATCGTTCATTTTCAATAATTGCATATTAGAACTCCAAGTATGACTTCCACTGGTATCACCCTCTATTCAGTAACAAAACATATTTTAAGCAGACTCTCAGTAAATTAATTTCTTAGAATATTCTTGCAAAGTGAGTACAAAATGAGTTAGAATAATGCCATGGAAAATCCAATGTTTCATTTAAATAAATATGTGCAGATTTCACCTCTCATTATCTGCTTAGCTATACTCATCTAGAAAAGGGAGCTTGTAAGTATACTTTTTTGTGTTCATCAAAACCTGAAAACCTAGTTTAGATTTTCTTAAGGGCTGGAAGTCTTCCTGGAAAAAGAATGGGAAGAGAAACATAAAAACCTGACCTCTCTGAGGCTGTGTAAATGAGTACTTAACCCGGAGATATACATATACAAATTATATATATATGCACATGAATAGGTATATTGTGTATGAAAATGTACACCAACTGAAGCAATAATAGAATTTTCCTTTAAAGACCTGTACCAACCACCCATTCTTAACAATTATTTTTGATTTTTTCTTTTTTTTTTTTTTTGAGGGGCATAGTTATAGAATGGCTGCAGTGAAGACAAAACTATTGTTCAAGGCTTTTAAATATAAAGACACAATAAGGTCACAGCAAACTCCCTCCCAGAGCATTACAAAACTAAGACAATGTCAAGTGTTTATAGTAATATTATTCATACTGTTGTGTAGGCAATGAAGCTCAGTAAAGCAACAACAAGAGGTTCAAATAAGAGTTTCACGTTTCATTTCATCATTGAGGTTATTTGTTTCATCCTCAGATTATATCTGCATACTGATGTGCCTGACGACTCAGAATCCCAAATAGAATGAACAATGTCTCTGATTGCCATTTCATCCTTAGGGCAACTAGTGTGAACACCATTAGACAACAGTTCTTGTTACTCATAAAAGGGAGTTTGAATATGCAATTAAACAAACTAGGTAAGAATTTTTATTTCATGAAGGTAGTCCTTTTTCAATGACTTCAGACTGTCAGAAGATAAGCAAGTATCTTTCACATAACATTATTTGATAGTTTTCCACAAAGTGGGTGCGTGGTATTGTTTCTTCCTAATACATATAAAAAAAAGGAAAATGAGAACACAGCTATATTTACTCAAGGCCTGCAGAAACTAAGAGAAGGGGAGGTACATTTCCCCACTAATTACGTTGCCATGAATGCAAAATCAGAGGTGCATGTTTTTAATCCAAGGCAAGTTGGGTTTAGAAGAAGCTATGGAATACATTTTACACCATCAAAGAAAGCACAGGAGAAGGCTTTATAAATCCTGTGAAAACAGCAAAACATTTGCAGTTCCTTCCATTTTTTCTTTTGAAAGCTGTCAGATATACTTTATAATAAAAGAGATTCTAGGTGATGGCATTAACCCGAACTTCTGAGTGGTCTATCTTTCTTTATACTCACATCTAGGGCACTTACCTACCCCAACAGGGAACCCTTCCCATTTCTCTCACTCTCCATTCTCTCCTGTGGGCTTCTTTGCCTTGAAGTCCATTTTGCCCTCCTTTTCCTCCTCAGGACTCTCTCCCTACTCACTCCCAATTATCCATGAAAAAGTGATCTGGGCAGGAACTTTACTGACAAGATTTCCAGCATCTTTTCTGCAACTGTTGGGTACAAAGTAAAGAGACAAGCCTCACTCTTGAAAATCGGGAGTGTCTTCCGTCTTTTCCTTTTCAGGTACTTCAGCTGGTGACAGACTCTTCACATCACCAGTGGCAGCCTTCACCAGACAAATGAACCACTCATCTGTGTGGACTGCCCACCTGAAAACAAGGAAAACTGATCTCGACAGGGCAAAAGACTATCTTATCACAATCTACTGCAATTATCTGCCAGGTGTCAACATCAGGGACCTCCAGAAAGCTCCTTAGTTGCTTTGCAGTTGTTACTTGACTATAAATGTGGCAAATTGCTGGGCAGCTATAGGATCTTAAATCTGAGCATAAAATAAATCATAGCCACATCGCACCAATTTTGCCCAAAAGTCTGGGGAGACATGCACTATGTCACCTTTAGAATAATCTTTATCTCTTGCTGTGATAAAGCAGGGGTCTTTTTAATGTCTTATTGCAATAGATTTTGCACTCATAAAGTATGATTATTTTCATTTTTTATGACATTTTAAATTCTACTAATCACAAATTGTTCCTATTCAACAAATAATGTTATCTTTTATTGGTAATAAAACTTAAAAACTTTTGTCTTTTTGTTACTTTTTTTGAACCAGTATCATTGGTGGTTTCATTAATTTCAGCAAATAAGTTATAGATGAGCTGGTTTTGCTGACTATATTTGCAGCAGCAAAGCATAAAGCGTTTCAGGCTTTTCAAAAGCAGAGTCTTTTCCACTGTTTCTCATTTGGAGACTGGTGTTTTAAAAAGTGATCAGATAGATATATAGATATCAAAACACTCTTTTTTTTTTTAAATTTTGTGACTTCCACACAAGAATTTCTGTGCACTAGAAAATTAACAGACTTTATACAGATTTTTGTCATTTGGCATCTGCAAAACATGCAAAGTACCATATACCTAAACTGTACAGCTGTTACAGCTGTTACATTCACAGAAGATTGTCTCTATAATGAAGAAATACAATATATCCAAATAAGCAATATATGTGTGTGCATATATCATATGTGTGGATATATATATACACTCATATAAAGTAGCTATTCTGCAGCTGATGTGCTTTGCAGAATGTGACAGTTCTCTTGGTGAAATTAAAAGCACATCACACTTTGCCTTCTCAGCTGTTGTATGCTACCTAGTTTGGGGTTTGGCACTGTCTAGGTATGCAGTCACAGATGGAAAGTCAGTATGTGCAACATGCTTTTCACCTGCCATGAAATGCTGAACTCCCTGTGTTATTTTGTATAAACACTTTGCAATTAATTTAGTTCTCACTCAGGCTTTTCCAAAATAACTCAGTAAAATGCTTAAGATCTTAAAATACTATCTTAGAATAAATTCTTAAGTTTTAGATAGTTAAACTTAGGTGAGATGTACCCCACTTTGCAACGTGCCTTTAGAGAGCCTCTACAGCTTTCTTCATGTTCTCTCCAATTCATACTAGCACTTCATGTTGTTAAGAGCCTTCATTACAAACCTGCAGTGACCTGCAATGCCATCCGAAGAATTACCTTTTGCTTACTTAACTCATAGAATTGTTAATATTTGTACATGACAAATACCTAAAGATTCATTGGACAATAATACAGTTCATGCACAACACACAAGATTAAATAAAATTAGGATTTCCTATTGCCACTAGTAATAAAAGCTGCTCTTTGGAGTTCATATTAGTAAACCTGTTTGGGTGTTTTTTTGTCATGTGTGTTTTCCTAAACAATAAATAAGGAAATCTTTCAATATTTTCTCTTAGATACATATTATAAATGGAAGTAACATATAGACAAGAGTGTTTAATTTTTATAATTTAGGCCTAAATTGTATTCAAGACTCTTCATGTTTGGCCTACTTTGATCACTGTGGGAGATGTAAGTAAGCATATAAGATTACAAATTAATCTTACTTACACAGTAGGAGAAAGATTTTATGTCAAGGAGCAAGAGTTACAGAACTATAATCTGAACCCTTAGTAGCTTATTACATATATTAGTTGCGCTGTAAAACATTAAATACTGAGCTAGAACAAAAATAGAGGTAAACAGTGTCCCAAGACACAAGTAAGTTTTCACATAATCATTCTGAAACTAATGCAGATGTTTTGGATGGCTCTTCAGGGTCAGAATGTTTGTTCAAGAGTGTAACATTAATCATGTATGCAATTACTGGGAGGATAAAAGCTTAAAAAAAAGTTAGCTTTCCCAGTCATCGATTTAACTGATAAGCCTAGCATAAAGTTGCAAGGTAAACTACACATTTTGCTTCAAATAACTATGGATTTTCCAAATGGCTACCATACTCTGCATGTTCCTTCCCTAAGGCAAAGCTCACTGTGGATATGCTTGTGCTACAGATGGGTCTTTACATAAGGAATCATGAATTCTACAATTGGGCCTTGGTCCTTCAGTACAAATTCTGTACTGAACACAGGTGTACCCATACAAAGGCCTGCTCAAGGTGGTGGTACTTACAGGGACAGCAAATTTTGTATTAGCTGCCACCACAGACTTGAACTCAAATAAAGGATATAAATTTAAATTTCACTTTACCGGAGAAACCTGTATCCCAGCCTAAATTAATTGATGGGTTTTGAAAAGTGTACAGAAAATAATAAATCTGTGGTTTATGACTTTTTTTTTGCAAACAGTCTACTCCCTGATAAAACAGGCTTTGAGTTGAAAAATGTTTTAATAGATTTCACTTAAAGGTGAAATCCGAAAGTCTATTTTTTGACATTTTCTAGATAAGACATTTTTTCTTTACTGTTTTGAAATTACCTTTTGCTTTGTTAAGTCCCCAAAATTACCAAATATTTAAAAAAATCATGCAAATCCCGCAAATTAAGTGTTTCTAGCGAAAGTTTATTAATAAGTTAATTTGTTCTCATTTTTTTCTTTCAGTGGCACAATCAGTGAAGTTTAGCTCAGGGTCAACATACAACAGTGTTCTGTTTTTTTTTAATTTTTCTTTTCAGGCACTGAACTGGAAAAAAAAAGTAAATTAAAACCATTTAAAACTTATTTGCAGTTCTACTACCAACCATAAATTCTTTTATTCAAAAAGCAACCAGCTTGTCAATGACATATCCAGTATAAAACAAAACAAAACAAAACAAAACAGAAAGCAACAGAAGTAATTTATCTATCATGGTGTTTCCATGAAAAATGTACTTGTCTACAGAAAACATTTTTAGGTCAAGCTTAAAATCACATGAACATGTACACTTCTTGTTTTATACAAGAGTGTGTGCATGTGCAACTTTTTCCTTATGTCACTTTTATTTTACTTAGAGTCATGATATCTGCATTTCCCAAAACAAAATGGCAAAATATCTATTATTCAAGAATAACATTTGATTTTGTAATTTCCTAGAAGGTTGAATGCATTTAACCAGCTACTGTAATTGAGTTATTCATATGTAATGAAACACAGTAGGATATTATGAATTCAAAAAAAAAAGGCGGGCACTCTTATGATCTGACATTGTAGCTTAAAATAAAAAACTAAAAACACATGAATCCCTTATTGTCTTTTGCATCTGTTAGTCAAAGAAACAACAGAATATTTACAGTAGAAGAGCGTTTCTTTCACAGCAGAAAGATTTCTACTGTGATATGAATTATATTAGCTATCAGTTCTTCCTTTGAAATAACCCTTTTTCATGATACATCAATAAAAGTGAAGGAATTAAAATGCTTCTCCCACTTACACAGGTTTAAATCCTGCTAAATCTGTTTGTTTCTGCAGCTTTAATTAGAACTCCACCAGTGTAAACTGGAGTGAATGTGGCTTGCAAAAGTAAAATTACTCCTTTGCTGAGTTTTCCTGCTTAATATTGCATGTAGAATATGAAGTCTGATCATTGTAAAGTATTTCATATATGGCAAATTAATTCTGGGAACTTTGCTATTATTAAGTTAACAATCATTTTTATTGGTATTTTTTTCCTGCAAGTATAATTTTGGTTTGTTGGTTTGACTGCATTTTAAGTGTTAAAATGCTAGACATTTTACCCCTTGTTTAGATTTCTTTAATACTGTAACTACATAGTAATTAAAAAGAGAATTTTTTGTCAGGTATACCAATGTAATGATTGAAACATTAATATACATAATTTATACAGCACATCACAGATTAATACTAAGACTAAGAAAACCTATTTACACCTAGGCAGTTGCATTCTAAGCTGTAGTTTTACTCATGTGGCAGCATAAGGCAAAGTGATATGTAATTCATATAGAACCTCTTCCTGATGGTGCTAAAGTTAATGGGAATGACAAGGAATTAAATTAAATAATTATCACTTATTCTGGTAATTTCTTCTGCGGTAAATAAGAATTTATTCTTGTGAGGTGCTAAACATTCTTAGATGTCTTTAATTTCATTAAGAGCAGCAGGTGTGCAGCACTTTGCAGGAGGTGCTCACCATTATCTCAAAATAGGTTCCTAGTACCTGGCAATGAGAGTTCAAATCGTCACTGTTTCTTAAAGATTGTTCATTCACTCTCTAGTCTTCAAGGTCTGAATGCACTTAAACATTTATGAAATGTCACTGAAAATATGACACTTTTAAAAGTATGAAAAGTTGCTCAATGGCCCAAATCACCAAATTATACGGCAGGAAGAAAATAACTGAAGTGTTTCCCTTTAATATTTTCAGAGAATAGAATCAGAATCATATAATGGTTTGTGTTAGAAGCAACCTTGAAGGTCATCTAGTTCCAAATACGGGCAGGAACTACTCCCACTAGATCAGGTTGCCCAAAGCCCCATCTAACCTGGCCTTGAACAGTTGCAGGGATGGGAAAGCCACATCTTCTCTGGGTAACCTGCTTCAGTAAAGAACCACCCTCACAATAAAGAACTTATTCTTAATACCTAATCTGAATCTACCCTCTTGCTGTTTAAAGCCATTCCCCCTTGTCCTGTCACTACCTGCTCTTGTAAAAAATCCCTCTCCAGATTTCTTGTAGGACTCCTTTAGGGAATAAGGTTCCTTGGAGCATTTTCTTCTCTAGGCTGAACAAGCCCAACTCTCTCAGCCTGTTTTCACAGGCGAGGTGCTCCAGCCCTCTGAGCATCTTTTTGCCTCTTCCCTGGACTTGCTTCAACAAGTCCTTGTCCTTCTTGTTTTGAGGACTCCAGCAGTAGACACAGTACTCCAAGTGGGGTCTCATGAGAGAAGAGTAGAGGGGGAGAAACACCTTCATCAACCTGCTGGTCACACTTGAGTAGAAATGGCTTAGGGAAATGTGTTGGTTTTTTGAAACTGTTGTTCTCCTAATTCTCTGAGCTCCTGGGATTAGCGACAGCTTTTATCGTGGAGATACTGATCTCTATCTCTATCCAAACATTCTGAAGCTCTCTGAAATCTTCCTTTATTACAGAATGCAATAAAATTGTACAAAACAATACCTGTATAGATTATTTGCTACCAAGGCAATG